AAAACCCGATACATTCTAATAACAAAGGCAACCACTGCCGTATGCCATCAGGCTATATAACAGCTACATTATTAGTACAGTACATCAGTCTGTGTCAAACAAGATAGTGTTGTCATCTAAATGTAGAATTAAAATGAAATTCAGAATGCTGAAAGTGCTAAGTTTTTTATATTGAATTAGGTTACACCAGTAATGCAGCAAGAATTGACTGTTATTATAATAAAATGATGCAATGATTGCAATGAAATACTGTAATTTGCAAATTATGTGTTATATATGTTGTATATGCTTGATTTATAGCAATCAAATTTAGTGTTAAATAATAATTAAATGAAATGACTGAACAAACCATACACACATGCACAGGTATGAGTCATTAGTGTCATATAAAAGCAAAAGGGAAAATTGTATTTTATTATATTGTTAAATATTCAAAAAGTACAGATTGTAATGATTTAAATGTACATTTATGTGGTAGATATCTTTAGCTTACTTTTACACTTGCATATAAAGAAATTAAGTTGCTAAAAAATGGATATTAGTAACAGAGGGTGCAGTTGCTCACTCACATCCTAATGGCTGCACCTAGTATTCTTTGTATCTTCTGTTGTTCTGTATTTCATATGAGATATTGACACATCCTGGTCTGCAATACAGAAATTAAATTATGAGCATTACCTACAATGATCACTAATTATATATTATATGTAGAATTTGTGTTTAATTTACTACTGCGTTATGCGTAGATCTGCTTAAATTGATAATTATAAATTATGTTCATATTATTATGTTCTACTGAAATAAATTATATATGGCTTTTTATATATGTATTTTCAATATATTTTTTTATATTTATGGATTGTCTGCATAAATTTTTTGAACATTTAATTTGATAAAAGATAGAAATACAAGATACTTATAATAAAGTTGAAATAGGAGTTACTCCTTTGTTGTAAAGATTAAAACAAACACAAAACCTAAAAATGTTATAATAGTAAAATTAATGTAAAAATTAAATTATGTAGAAATAATTTTAAGTTTCAAATTATTATGAAATCTCAAAATTTGTTAACACAAGGTGTTTGGATTGACACTGACACATTTCAATTCTCTGTCAAAATTCAATACATAATCTAAATGCATTGTGTGAGAAAGTGCAACTGTTTAAGTTTTCCCTACAATCAATTGAGGTGTGAGGACTAATTGGTTGTGGTTGTCCATGATCTCCTAACATTACACTTTTAGACTTCATCAGGAGATTGTAAAACACAGGGTTTACGCTGGCATCTAAATCAGTGACCTCAAACTTCATGCGTACATACTGGAGACTTGTGTTTGTTATACTGTACTTCAAATATTGCTACACACAAGGCAGGAAATTAAATATTATTTATATATTCTCTGTGGAGCACATGTGGAGATTTTATAATTTTGTGTAGAAAGGAGTAAAGATAGAACTTTACTTATTTTTCAATAAAGTTTGGTGAGTTTGTTCTTAAATTGCATATATCTAATACTCTTATTGTAGTTGTTATCTATTTTTCTCATTGCCTTTTAAAGTGTGCCTTTTAGTAAGTATTATCATCAAAGTAGTATTTGCCTAAAAGTAACATGTACCCTTATAAAACCCCTGATCAAAGAGTATAAAATTGAATTATTTTGTATCTGGAAAGTAGCTTATATTCTTCTCATATATTTACGAAGTTTTGTAGAAATCAGTTTAATCATTATCACCTGATACTTGGACAGAAATGGATTTCATTATACAGTGGAACCTCTATATTCGTCATTAATCTGTTCCTAAGGACCTAATAAATATGGAATATGACAAATATAGAAACAATTTTTCTCTTAATAAATAACTGATATTCAATTAATCTATTCCCATCCTGAAAAAAGGTACAAGAATAAAAATTATGTTGTTTGTAAAACTTTATCTTTATTGTACTAAATACAGTATAGTTGTAGAATGGTAGAATAGTATTATTAATATAGTATATTGTTTAGAAGAAGACATATCAATTAAAACATACATAATTCAATTATTATCATGGTGTCTGTTTTGCCAATGATTCAGTAGCACTCAATAAAGAACTTGTCCAGTGTTGTGTGTTTTTCTCTGCTTTTTAAAACTTTTCTGAAGTAGGAAATTACATTATCATTGAATGTATTTGTATTTTGGTTGACTATAACAACATTTGGGTCCACTTTGAAGCAATTGGAACTTGGTTTCTTGCATTGATTATTTTTAAATAACTCAACAACACACACGACAACCATACAAAGCAGACTGATTAACTACGGCTAGCTAACATGGCTAGTTGATCGGCATGGGCGTGCAATTGTAGTGCTAATTCCAGTGTTGGGAATGACAACGAATACAGAAAATACTGACGAATATGGAAAAATAGAAAAGTCATCAAAATGTGATGAATATCGAATATTACAAATATAGAGGTTCCACTGTATATAGATAGATAAGTAAGAAGAATCAACTTTTGTCTCAGCAATACATTTAACAAACAAAAGTTTCAACCACTTTTACTGATTGTCAGCAGGTTACAAACAATTCAATCAATTGAGATTTAAACAGTAACTTCAACTATTCACATTGATGTTTGTAGTGCTATTAATTTGCACATTATTATTATTATAATTTTGGTATATCAGAGTTGTATTTGAAAAATTTGAAGCTCAATTCATTTATAACCTTAATACGTTCTTAAATTAACAATAGTTATATTATCATCATATTTAAATAAACTCTTCTAGAATTGCTTGACAAGTCTCAATTATGTTGGCGAAGAGCGTAAGCTCCTTGGAATTTTTATCACATCATTTTTGGGAATATTATGGGAAACTCTGCTAAGTCAACATTTTGAGTGCTCCAAAAGTGGTCAGCAATTCAGTTATGTTTATAAAGCATAAAAACATGTTGCTAAATCTTTGACATTCATTGAGTTTAAACAATTTAACATTACACTTGACTCTAACTCCAGCTTAACAGCTTTATATTTAAAATTAAAATTGAAGACTGTCTGTTGAAAAAGGAGTCAGCATTTATTAATTTTAATGTTCCAGAATACAAATTTTTGACAAATGACCTTACATTGTAGGCTACTTGACTATCAGAATTTTAAAAAATTTCAAGGAAAATCAGTAAAGAAATTGCCTGTGAGTTCAGAAAATAAGTTATCAAGAGGACCTGGAAAATGCTGTGACAAAGTGCCTACTGTGTAGTTGCAATGCCGTGAACATAATAGACTATAATTTATGTAATTCTGTTTCATAAACATTATAATACTTTTGAAAATTCTGTGTTATTTGTAATAGAGCTTAAGCCATTGGACTTCACTTAATTAATTTTTTAGGAACAAATGTCTTATGTCACTTCTAGTTTCATTAATGGAGTTTTGTTTATATATAAACTACACAACAACACCTTATCTCACTGAGAATTATTTATTGTAACAAACGTTTTCAACCTGTTCCGCAGGCCAACTTCAGGTTTTTAAAAATCGTGGAATATTTTATATATAAATTAAATAAATGCATATAGACATAGGCTATAGAAAACTACGTGAATAGTTTCCAATGTTATGCTTCTTAAAATCTACTTACCTTTACTCTTATTATAAAGATTTGGTCTGTTTTCTTTTTATTATCTATATTGATTGCATGATGCAGAGTGTGAAATAACATTAACGCTTTATTTTTTTACATATATCTTAAAGGATATTACAATGTAAATTCATCCTACAGTATTAGTATAATATTTTCTACTTTCTACACCTATAAAAGGTGTGTAAACTGAACAATATAATTGAATATTATAAATTTGCCTCCAAGCACACTTCTTCCACCTGTTCAGTGATTTGCTGCTGATGAATAGCATTCTGACAGAATTTAGCCTTTTATATAAAACATAGGAATAAAATACAAGTTAGATTTTTTCACTACTAAATAAAGTTATTTTATCTATATTTCTTATATTGATTTTATCTATATTTTTATTGTTTTTGGAGAGGGACGAAATCTTATTCTTGTCTCAGGCTGTATCTTTTTTCTTTCAACTCTGATCCTGATGACTTAGAATAAACTTAGTACATTAATAGGAGAATGTTTACAGTTCAAATTAGGATCTTAACACTACTGATATAAATACAAATAAAATTTCTTGTCTTCTTGCATTCTTTCTAACCACAGTAACACAACCCTAGCTGAATGATTGAATATTTTCTTTGAGGATCTTCTCTGCCTACAAATATGTAAAGTAATTGAAAGTCCATCAGAAATCCTACAGGATGTAGTATATTTTTTTTTTAAAATTACTACAAATTAAGGACTGAATACAAATAAAATAAACTCTCTTTTTTACAAGAATCCTGTTCCAGAGAGATTTTTTACTTAATTTACATAATTGTAAGCAAAGAAGATCCTCAAAGGAAAGATTATTGTTAATTGTGTTTCCGTGATTGGAAAGAATGTAAGAAGGTAGCAAGTTTTATTATTTTTTAAATATATTTTTTGGAATTTTTCCAAGGATATATTTAAATTCCTGAAAAAAATTTCCAAATTCAACCTTGGATTTTTAATTTTTTGCATAAAAAGAAATTTATTACATGTTCCTGTCTTCAAGTATAATTACTAGAAGGTGGTTGTAAAGTAATTTAATCATTTTATATAGTAATTTATTATGTTTTTCTAATACCTTATTAGTTGCAAACTTGAAAAAAAAGACAAAAAATGTTTAAAATGCGAACCTTCTGTTAGTTAGTTACCGAACTTTTGGGCCACCCTATATTTCAAGCAATCATATTCTTCTTAATTAAACCAAATACAAATGAATACGCAAACTTTCTAATTTAAATAATAATAATATCCGATTTAAATTTTCACTTCCGTGTATTTAATTATTAAAAAAAAAAAAGTTTTAGGAAAATCAAAACATTAAACTTATTACGTAGATTGTGTGATTGATCTAAGATTGGAATTTTCAGACAATTTGACCAATCGTCGCAGTCAACGTCACAATGGGAGGTATTGTGTTTTCGGTCCACGTGACGGGCTCGTGGGTTTTTCGATCGTGGCATTCCTGAATTAAATTGGAAGAAGATCGTCCGAGAGATCGCCGGGAAAACTTTTCTGGATAACATAGAAGAAGGTGAGCGGCCATATTATCATTGTAAAATCATTTTTTATCCATTACTCTTAATACATTTAATATTATTCGTGTTAACGGTGTGCAGACTGTCGAATCAATAAATAGATTGAATGCTGTAAACGAGGTAATAATGATTTATCATTTTTTACTAAGTAAATACACCGATCATTTAATAGGAAACATAATTTAATTGGCATTAATCAATATGTAGTGTTACAAAAACAGCTCTTTTAAGCCAAAACTTTAAAGTTATCTCTCCTCTTTCGTAATTTAAAATGTGTTATGCTCGCAACTCCAGGTTAAAATTTACTTAAGTAAAGAATTTTGTAGATATCGATCTAACGTGTGACTTTTTTTTTTATTTTTCATCCCCATTCTTAACACGCTACATTTAAATATGGTGTATTAAATCGCAGAGTTTAGTAAATAAATGAAAAAACTAGAGCGAATTTTACATACTTTTTATGTAATTGCTTACTTAAAAATTGTAATTACAATGCGCGTAACGCGTTAAAGATTCCATAGAGAAACATTAGGTTACAACCAAATCTAATTTTGCATAAGTTTAAGTAAGACAATCAACTTGAAACTGTTGCCATAGTTATAAAGTTGTTTTGCGATACATTTCATCGATTTGTATCGATAAAGGAGAATGTTTTTTAATTACATTCATGTTAAAAGTCGAGGGTTCGTATGTGTATTACAAGCTATCCACAGTATACTGTACGTAAAAACTAGTATTAGTGTTTTAGTATGTGTTTATAGTTTAGGAAATTAAAGTCTGTAGCGAGTTTTGTGTTATAATTTTAAAAAAAAACTCTTTAATTGCAGCAAATGAGTGTGTTCCTGACTTAAAATAGTGTAATCTTGACTCAAAAATTAAGATGAAATTCGAAAATTTTATACTAAAGCTCGAATATTAACTTAAAACTTAATATTATCTTGTCTAAACACAAAGAAAAGTTAACTTTTCCTGTGTTTAGAGTGAGTTTTATGTTGGAATTTTGTTTAATTGAGCTAAATAAGTGTGCTCTTGGCTTAAAATAATGTAATCTTAACTCAAAAATTAAGGTTAAATTCGAAAATTTTATGTTAGAAAGATCAAATATTACCTTTAAAGTTAATATTTGATCCATCTAAACGTAAGAAAAGTTAACTTTTATATATTAAATGTATATACAATTTTAAATTAAAAGTCTATAAATGAAAAACAAATTGATGTACGCCTTGCTTATCAGACTGTATCGACACTTTACAGGGTATAGAATTTACGTAAGAGAAATTAATAATGAAAGAGTGGTAATCGATACTAAAGACTTATTATTTGTGTATTCTGTATAACGAAACGTGATGTAAATACGATCACTTGGTGAATATTAAATACTTTCTTGACACAGCAAAAGGTTTGTGAAGTTTAAACACACATTTAGTCTATGATATAGCACACTGAATTTACATATGAACTAAACAATATAAACTTTAGAGCCTCGCTTTATTATTACTATTATTATTAGAAAGCGTCATATATATTTGGGTTTTAACATGAAAAATTCGAACCTGTACTCATAATCGAAAATTTCTTAGGGTGCTACAACGTGTTATGATGCTGTATATTTTGTAAACTTGTATAAAAAGGCATCACTCGTTGTCAAATACGAAAATTCTGTTGTTTATATAAAGTTCACCTCCGTTATTCAGGCGATAAACTTTATATAAACAACAGTAATTTAATCCTTTATTATAAATATAAATATCTATTGTTATACATTATTATAACACACAATTTCTCCAAAACATGTAATTGATAGACTGTTATACATTTCTATACCACTGTATTCCAGTGTAGACACTGGAATACAGTGGTACATTCGATTGGATCACTGTGGCAAGGGTTATTTAATTGGTTCACCCTTTGCCACAGTGATCCAATCGAATGCCGCACCAGACTCGAACATTAAATCAAAGTTCGAATTTGAAGAATAAGAAATGATGCAAACTACACGTGAATTCCTTCTCATTGTTTACGTCTGGTCTTTTCTGACGTCATGGCAACGTCAAGGTTTTTTTTTTCCTATATCAAACAACCGTTTCGCTCCCTCAACCGTTGGTAACTTTGTCAAAAAAACGATTAATTTTAATTAAATTTAAGTAATTAGCTCCCTCTCTCTAATAATAAACCCCTTCAGTTATTAATTATGGCATCGAATGATCCGAATCGATAGAATTGAAAAGAAGGTAAATTATTAATTCGGTTTTAAAATTTTAAACCTCTTACCTCTGACTAATCGAACCGGATTTATTTTTAACTCGAACTATAATTTTATACGCTTAAAATTTTGAGATGAGGGGAGGAAAAAAAAACAAAAAAGATCGATTACTAATGAAATTCGAGTGGTAAACATACGCTAGTAGGTCATAAAAAATCGTTAACAGTTATACATTATTTCTTTGAAGTTATTACAGGTATAATTCGGGTAATAAACCTTTTATTTAGTAGGAAACCTCTGTAGAAAGTTCGATAATTTAATCTGTTTTTTTTTTCATTGTATCTGGGATTGCTGGGATTTTCCGATTTGTCACCCTTTCAGAACTTGGCTAGTTATTAATAAAACATTTTTAGAATTAATTTCATTAAATTTATATCAAAACCTGTGTAAGTCGGACGTGTTGGATAGTTTATTAAGGAGTCATATAAAATACACGATCGGGAGGGAGGGGTCATTGTCTAAATGGACTATATTTTACTGGTATACAAATTTGTTCTAACAAGTCTAATTAGTAGTCGTGTAGATTAGAAAACATTTGGAGAACTTTTTTAAGGTAATTTCAAATGTCAGTGTGTCCATGAACTGTTGTACACGTAATTAAATGGAAGGGGATTTGCCAAAAATGCATTGTTGTACGCAACCGGAGAGGAGGATCAAAAAATCTACACGTATTTATTAAGAAATAAACCGATGTTTTCTATCCCCATGAATATTTATAATTGCTATTTACTGATTTTTTTTTAATTATTCTAAAACGGAAATGTTAAATTGTTGTATGGAAATAACAAGAAAATTGAATTGATTAAAAGAGCAACTTTTAAATATTTGAGAAAAACCGTTTTTTTTTTTTTTTAAGTATATTATTTCAAAGATTTCTTATCTACATTATTTTAAAATTAAAGCTGGCGAGACACGCTACACTACGAAAGTCACGATCTTTCTGTAGTTTCCTTGGCATGAAAATACAATTCATAAACGCATTTTAACACTCGGAAATACATAAAATTGTTTGTTTTTGAATAATAAATAAATAAAAACGAGAGCACGGCATTAACAATGAGTGAACAAATGTAAAATGAGAAACATTCGAACCTCCCATAACGGACACTTTTAAACGTAAGCCTCTATTTTTTTTTAGGAAGATCGAACAGAAAAGCGTACAATATAGCGTACGCTTCTCCGGACAGTGCCGTTGTTCACAGGTTTGGCTGTTTAATGCAGGTTTTAATAGTTCTGTAGATGAGAGTTTTTGAATCATTTACAGTCGACCCCCCTATAACACTGTTGATTATTCCGTTTTATATGAATTCCATGTTGTAGGAGTCACTTAGATTTTACAAATACGTGTGCCGTGCTGTGAACGGCTCACGTATTTGTAAAATCTAAGTGACTCGTACAACATGGAATTCATATAAAACGGCATAATCAACAGTGTTATGGGGGGGTCGACTTGTACTGTACGTGTAAACAAATTGTAACAGATGAAAGAGGGAGGATTTTCACTTCTAGTGTTGACTGATAAAGTATAAAATTAGATTTTTCGCACGTGTTTCTCTTCATTTATCACATAAATTAACTAAAAGATACGTTTCGTATTCAATTTAATTCAAAAAAAGCATATAATACGTGTACATTTTCTGTGTAAATGCGTAAAATGGCTTTAATTTTTGGCTAATTTATCTTATTTAAATAATCACTCGATACTTGAAGGTGAATGAGAACGTTTTTAAAGTAAGTTTTTATATTAAAATGGAGTAGTATTTATTAACCTCTTTTTTATATTAACGAGATAAACAAAAGAACGTGTTCTAAATTGAATAGTACAACAGAAAACACTTTGGAGATATCATTTTATTTAATTTATTTAAAATAATTGATTAGTATATTTCTCGAAAATTTTGTTAGCAACGTACCACGTGGTTTGTCGTTATAGTAACCCACACCTGTAAACTCGAATTGTCGATTGTTAAACACGGTTGAATATCCATTTGTGCAGATGACCAGAAAGTAATGAACGTCTGAATGCCTGTTTGATTAATTATTTTAGTCATAGTTCGAAAGTGTTAATTAATTTTTACGATGAAATCTTCTCATTCTACTTTATTTTAAATTCGCAAGCATAAATTTAATCCAGGATGATATAAAATATCGATAATTCGATCATAAAGTACTGTTTTTTAAGGGGTTAAGTAGTGGAGAAATCGCGTAAAACTCTGATTTATTATCGCTCGTATCTATCGTGTCGACGTTATAACGATCGAAAAAATGATAAAAAACGTCTTCTAATTATATATATATTCTGTATAAAAATATAAAGAAATAATTTAATATGTTATTAATGATTGATTATATGTATTGATGTCGTTGACTGTTTAAAAATGCTTTCATTATAATGGCGGTTACAGCGAACGACTCATAGTATCTTGCCCTCTGATCTAGTCTATTATTCATTTAGTTACTATATAAAGATGTTAGGCCAAGCGGCATTTTATCTACTTTATTCTCTCGAGAGCTTAATGAATTATTAGTTATTATCATTATTTTTTTTATTTATGTAGTTTTTTGATCAACAAATCATGGGATGTGCCGCATCGAAATCGACTGCAGCGTCTAACGGTGGGTCGCAGGAACCAGGTAGTTTAATTGCTTGTTTTTTCTTAATTAAATTCTAACGAAATTATTTATTTATTATCATTTTTTTAATATGCAAAAATATAGTTCCTAAACCTGTAGCCTTTGAAATTCCTATGGAAGAAAATGAAAGCGTGGTGAAGAAACATCCGCCTAAACGGTTACAGGTAATTAAAATACATTAATGAGAGTAATTTAGGATAAATTACCGGTGGTATTAAGGTAATTTTAAGAAGTAAACGAAGTTTTTTTTTTTGTTTCCTTTTTGTATTAGAAATTAGAAGAACAAGCTCAACAAAGTTCCATTAAGATAGCGGATATCGAAGAAAAACAGCAGAAAGCAGAAGAAAGGAGACAAGAAGTAAAATATTTTATATTTCTTTTCTTATAACTTCCACTTTCTTGGCTGTTATAACACGGAATAGTGTCAAGTTTCATACTCCAGGTTTTTGGCTAATTTTGAAGTTTGAGCCCCCCTGAAACAAAAATAGTAAAAACAAAGGATTAAAAAACCTCCCTGTGTATATGGGGATGTATTTCGTTTAATATCTCAGCATGAGGTAAAGATTAAAAAACGAAATTTGTCACGGTAACTTGGAATTAAGGGGTATTAATGCTATTAAATTTTGGAGTATGGAACTCAAGGGGGTTAGGAGATAGGGTCGTGTCATATCTGGAGTGGGGTCGGTCTTAATATAAAATTTACCCGTTATTGCCATTTATAATGGTTTTTTAAAACTCGTCTCTATCCTTAAAATTTAGCCTATTCTGTCTTTTTGTAATAATTAATAATATAAAAGTTATTTTTTAATAACAACTTGTAATAGATAGTTCCACAGGCAATTTTAACTATGAGCTAATGTGGTAGTGTTTTTTTTTTTAAATAATATATTTATAAATGGGGATTTTTATCACAATTCAACAAAATTATTCCTTCTAAGCTTTTGATATTACTTAAATTTTATAATCTAGTTTAATTCAAAATTATGGGGCATCGTAATGGTCCTCTATATTCGTGTTTGATTAAAGTCGAGCAAGTGACTTTATCAGTTAATTTTTTAAAATACTAATGTCGTTTTCTTTATATAGATTTTACAAGAAAGAATACGAAGTTCAAAGAAGGTTCAAAAAATGTTTGAAAAAGGCCGAGAGAAAACTGATGAGATGGAACAGGTCAATTTTGATCTTAAACTATTGACATAGCGATCGTAAAGTAAACTATTATTTTACTTACTTTATTGGATTACTGTAAATAGTATTAAGGTTCAGTTAAACAATACAGATATATATTTACAGTTACATTACATTAGAAGGAGTAATGAATTAAATGGGATGTTTTAAATTCCGAAAAGTTTAGTTAAATAATTATTTTTATTCATTTTTTATTATAATATTTTTAAATTATGCACTTCATACTGGGTGCATAACATTGTACCAGTTACATTGTACCAGTTTATATTTTGCTTCTGCTACACTTAAGACTATGCACAGAAGCCTCATGCTGTTTCTTTTTTTCCACCCATTTTTAGATTGTGTTCAGCTTTGAGTATTTAATTGAACAAAAAAAAATTCTCTGAATTTGTAATTTAAATTTCATCTCCTTTCTGTCGTAACATTTGAGATAGGATTTGGCTTATTTTGACAAACTTATTGGCGTAGCCTGATCTAGAAGATAAAATAATAATAATTCAGAAACAACTCTTGAGCTGTTTCTGAATTTTATATGCATTGAACCATGATTTAATCAATGTGATGAGTTACCCTTTATTAAATATAAGACAAGGATCCCATTCTAAATGTAACTAATGTATATTTGATGTTATTTTAGTTACAGGGTGTGCAATGATAATGTAATCCAATTTTGTTAAATGGATGAACATTTCTCTTCAAAAAAATGCAACAGTACTCAGCTGTTTATCAGGAAACCAGTCAGATGATGAATTTAAATTCTCACTACTGTTTCCAAATTCTTTTTCTATTTTGGACAGTTGTATGAGACAGGCTGCAAAGCTTCGAAATCCTTCTTTGACAACTCATTCAAACTTTTTCTAGGTCTTTCCTTTAGTTGTTTTCATTCAGTATTCATTAGAAACACTACTTAATCCAATTATCATCTCTACCTGTGTTGATATAATCTTAACCAGGGCTGGCCTGGTGCAATGTGTACTGGGCCTTTTAATAAAAAAAAATAGCAGTTTCGAAGAACAAAATATTTTAATGGTAAGAATACCATCCGTTAAATAGATTAGCGAAAATTAGTTACCTTAGTGAATAATGAAATGATCAATTTTTAAATTTTGCAAGAGTTGGATCATGCAGGATCGTGGTGCCTTGTGCCTTCGCACTGTCTGCACCACCCACCGGCCAGCTCTGATGATAACCTATTAATTTTTAACAAGTCATTTGTAGCTTTTATATCAAATTTTTTTTCGGTGCTTCATTTCATTGTTTATTTTCTAGGAAGATCCCACACATCTTATCCACATTTCTATTCTGTTCAGTATTGTTAATTGTGCTTAATTTAAACTTTCACTTTAACATATTCATTTTGCATCAATGAACTTCTTATAAACGGGCAAGCAGCACTACGCCATTTTTTGGTCTAACATCCATATTCGTTATCTTTCCCATTTCAGTCATACAAAGAAATATTTTAATTAATGCGAAATTAATAAATGAAGAGAATATTTTATGAAAATATTTGCCAAGATTGCTTAACTACAGATTTTGACGTATTAGATATATTAAATTACTGTCGAAAAGTAATCTTCATTATTATTTAAAAGTACATGAATAAATTATACAAAATTCCTATATATAGATTATTTATGATCTAGTAAAAATTAAGTTTAATAGAATTTTTATGTGAAAATATTAATGAGTGTTTGAAGAATATAATTAATTTGGTGGAATATGTTAACTTGGATTAATTATTTATATGCATGCTTAATAGTATAATAAAAAATTTAAAATTTTTCTAAATGAACAACTTATTAAATTAAAGACTGATTAAATTAAATGATAATAATTAAATTTATTAACGATAAATTTTCATTCTTACAAGTAATACGGATATATAACATATATTGAAAATTTTATATCATTGTATAATAAGTGTGGTCTGATATAAACAATGTATTGCAAAAAAGTGTTAAAACGAAATTTAATAATTTTACATTATAACCTGGGCTTCGGAGTCGGAGTCGTGGAGTTTTGATGTTTTAGTCGGAGTCGGAGTTGGAGTCGGTAGATTTTTACGCGACTTCCACAGCCCTGGCAGGGCTGTTGAGTCGGAGTCGGAGTCGGATGATAAGGAAAAGTCGGAGTTGGAGTCGGTAGATTTTTACGCGACTTCCACAGCCCTGGCAGAGCTGTTGAGTCGGTGTCGTGGAGTTTTGGTGTTTTAGCCGGAGTCAGAGTTGGATGATAAGGAAAAGTCGGAGTCGGTAGATTTTTACGCGACTCCACAGCCCTGATTATAACATTTAATTTAACTTGTGGTGTAAACATTTCTATTTGTGACCTTTTTACCTGAGAAAATTATACATGATACCTTATATATAGGTATACAAAATAGGTTTACAAATAAAATCACTTTCTGATAATAAATTATAAAACAATTTTCTAATACGCAGATTATTTTACCATTTATTAAAAACTAAAGCAAATTTACATGATTTTTACAAAATAAAATTAGAACTAAATTTAAGAAAACTTACCAAACTAGAACAGTCTGTTTAAAATATTACGTTTGAAGTATTCTAAATACAAATTTAAAATTGCACAAATTAAATAAATAAATTATGAAATGATAAGGTTAACAAAATAAAAATTAAGAAAGTATAACATAAAAGTATAGCCAAATCTGATTGTAGGAAAATACTCGGGAGTTTTCATGTTTCATATCTATTTTTTACATATCCATCACAATGGTTGGAGATTGTACTGTTTTAATAATGCTTGCTTCGTCCCCCTTTATAACCAAGCCTTACATTTGTGACATTGCCGCTAAACATGTATTACTGTGGACTTTTTCCATATTGTACTTGTGTTACTTCAGACATCCTTTGAGTAACACCAAAGTAATCTATTTTAACTCCTAACTATTGGGTTATCTTACAGAATTTTTGTATACTCCAGATTGTTCCTTTTTTCTTAGTTTGTCTTTATCATTCCTTTGTATGTTGTAAATATTAAGTGCTCTTTTGTACACTATCTTAAAATATTTTTAACTTGTCAGCTCATTTATAATACATCCCAAATGTTTGTTGTATGTAAATTTATTGATTATATTGATGTTTTTTAGTTTTATCTTTGTTTTCTTAATAACTCCTGATGAGCTCTTCTGTACTGCATGTTTTATGTCTTAATATTCTTGCAATTTCTTTATTTCTGTTGGATTTTTTAACCAGTCCTGTATATTGGTACAATAGAAAATGGCTTTTCTAATCAGTGCTGAGAAATGAAAGTTTATGTTCGTAATGGTTATTGAACCATGATGAAATGTACAAACTCTTTTTTAAAAATATTTTATGATTTAAATTGGACAGCAAGTCCTCACTTAGCATCAATGATAAGTTCTTAAAAACTATGAGGATAAGCAAAACAATGTATAACATAACCAATATTTACACAGCATAAATGCTATAAACAAAATATTATTTATTAATTTAATCAGTTTGTAGCCTCCATCAATTATTATTTACTTTACGAAATCAGTTTCTATTTATAAAGAAAATTCTAAATGTTTACAAGTGTACTTTTGTCTTTCCTAAATGATTTTAAGCGAGGACTTGCAATACTGAATGACTTGCATTTAGAATTAAATTAAGCTTATACACTTTATATTACATTATGTTATATTATATATTTTAAAATTAAAAAAAAAAAATGCAAACCTGTTGGTTCTTATTTCTTGGAATAAATCTAAACATAAGAGTAGTATTTTCTAAAAATTGATATCATTAGTAGAAAAATTGAAACACTACAATACATTTAATAAATTTTATATTTAAATAATTAACTATTTGTTATCAAAAACCTAATTTATTAATGACTTGTTTTAATATTAAAATTATTAGAATAATTCTGAATTTTTCTTAAATCAATAAAATCATATTTTTAAATTTTTAATAACTGCTTAGAAATAACAATTTTAATAATGCTGAAGTAGTTTGTAATATTCTTTTTTGCTGGTTATATACAAAATGTCCCGCATAAAATCAGTCCCACTCATTTGAAATGATATTTATGAATTTAGGCAAAGTAAACTCACTATAAACTTTATTTTAAAATTATTTAAATGTACAGTGATAAACAGAAGATACTGTAAGTTATGCTCTTGTGCATCGATGCACCTTTTTTATATGTAACCGTAAACAGACTGGTCTTACATAAAATAGTGATGTCAATAGGACATTTAGAACATGTATCTTCATTGTTTCTAAGTAAATTATTTGGATGTTCCAGTTCATATTGCCATAAACTGAAATGATAAAATGTCACAAAGAAAGTGTGCTGAATTGATGTTTATTTGTGTATGTTTCCAACAGAAAATTGGCAGGAATGTTCTGTAATTTGAGCTAAGCCCTTTGAATATCGATTAATATTTTCATATCATATCACTTAATGAAATATGTTGACGACAAATAGTTTTGTGCATGTAAAAGCTAAGTTCCCACGAATACTTACTATGAATTATGAGTTCACATATTTAATAAACTGACATTCAATGAATTTATTGAACCTGTTTACATTAGCAGCCACTAATTCACACTGAATTATAATTAGAATTTTTGTGTTTTTATATTAAACATAGCATGGGGGCAATTGGACGATGAGATACGAAACCAAGATGGTATGAAAAGGCCCTTTTAGTGGTGGTAATGGGCGGAGAGTGTTATATTTAAACAAATACACCTTTTTAGCTGATCAGTGTATTCATAAAACTGCAACTAAAATTTTTTAAATTTATTGCTGTATGAAGTTCATTATGTTAACATAACTAACAAAACTTATTTAATAATTTTCAGATAACGGAGGAAGGATGTAACTCAGGAGAAAACCCTGAATGATGTGTCCTGGTAATTGGCACCTTTCTTTTCAAAACTCGTGGTGCTCGTTAACATTACATCGTCAGGTTTTACTATGTTAAAATCATTGTAAACATAAACTAACATTCGGAACAACAACAACTTTTTATGGTGCCTTATGTTACCCTTAGGTTATTGCTGCAAATACGCTTTTAATAATCATACATGGAACAATATCAGCACCTAACTTCCAGTATGGCACGGATATTTATAACTTGTAAATAATAAAGAAGTTTAAACTTTTAAAAAAAAATCTTTAGAATTTATTTTCCTTCAGTGAAAACTGACATTCCGTGGAAATTTCCTGCGGATGCCCATGCCTCTAGCTTGTTAAAAGTTACACGATAAATTGTCTTGAAAATCGTTTCCAAAAAGTCCTTGTGTCCAATCTCCATGTATTTTTCTTCAACTACATTAACAAAATTAGTACATCTACACTTCTTTTGGGACGAAAAGGGTGCGAGGAACTTTTGACTCATCCTGTATATACTGGTGTAACAAAGGTTTGCCTTGTAAGGAGGATCCTGCTAAGCTCAGCAATCTCTAGGCCAATTGCAGAGAGACAACGTTTCTTGCTTGCCACAGTTTAGATAAAAATGGATATCGTTCCTATGTAATAAAACACGAATGATACACAGTAAAATCTGTAATTATCAGAAAATTGCCCATTTCAAACCTAGATAAACATCTAAAATTCATTATTATGTAATGTGAGTTTTTTTTTTTTTTCTTACTCCAAACAAATTTCCATCGTTTAACATCTTACAACTCTCGTTTTGACTCATCACACCAAATAACATGTTTTCAAAACTCCGAGGGCTTGTCCACAAATATTTTGCCAAAAGCTAAACCATTTTCCTGATTCACTGTTGAAATCATTGATTTTCTATGAGATATTCTGCCGGGATATCATTTTTATTTAATATTCTTTTAATAGTTAAAACACTGGCTTGAAGATCAAGATTTTCTTTTATTTTTTCTGCTGTTATAAAGGGATTTTGGTGATTCCGTGGCAAATCATGGCAATTTCTTTTGTTGTTCCCTTAGGGCGGTGTCTTTCTGTGGTAGATTTCTCAATGTATTGTTGTTTAAATACTGGACCACTATTATTTTTATTCCATCTCGTGATATTTTATGCGTTCTTTGCAATAAAATCACCACTTTCTTGCTCGTGTACACTCTGCACTCTCTTCAAGATCGAAGATTAAATTCTCTCTCCTTTGGCCTACTTTCTTATTGATACTAAAACACTATTTGAGTGACGATTCTCAAATTACATTTTCTATAATAATCAATTTGAAATTAATTCTTTCTTGTACTTCCAATGTTCTCACTTTGTTCTCAGTAGTTTGTACAGTAAACCGGAAAAGCATTTCTTTTACTTAATGTTAAAAATTCTATTTTCTAAATGATCAAATTTGAAATGATTTTGCCTGGATATTCCGTACAACGGATTCTGTTGAATTCTTGTTACACCAAATGACTTATTATTGATGAAAGTTATCAGTAAATCTAAACAAATTATGTTTCGATTTCATTTCTGGTTCACTTCAAGAGATACTTTTCAGTTTCAAAAGTCCCGAAAATATGGAATAGAAAGCATTGGCCATCTGTAAATTTAATTATTATTAATGTATTTAGACACGTATATCATTATCTATACTATACCTTTATTGGGAACATTTTTGTTACGTAGAAGTAGCCATCAAATGATATCCTGAGTGACACTTTTCCAAATCTCTTCATGAAATTTAACATCTATCAAGTCAAAAACGATAATTTAAATTTAATTATAAATGTAAGGTTTCCAAGGTTACAGCGAAATTATGTTTCTATTGTGTTTTATTCTTGTAACTAACTTTTACTGTTAGCACTAACATGAATCTAAAATAATGATCATACTCAAAGTGGGTTCGGCCAGTCCAGCAGGTCCATTATCGGAGATTCAGGGTGGCCGGACCTATTGAGGAGAGAGCTAACGTTTCTCAGCTATCCGGATACAATTCTCCATATCCCGAGTTACCACTAGTGAATATATTGCCCAAAGTTACTTTATCTAAAGTAAATTCTTTGATATTTATCAGAGAATTCTTTATCATTTATCAATGGAATAAAACCACTATACAATTAAAGCCAAACTATTATCGGATTAATTGGTCTATATCATTAATCATTAAATACCGTGTAATTTGACACTACAGGTAGAGTTCGATGCCATCTCTTATTAATTTGGTAATTTTAGTTGAATTAATATTTAATAAATGATTTAGAAAATTCTGGAAGAAAAGAATCGGCCTGGAGTGCCACTCGAATCCACAACTTTCGTGTACCGTGAGGATGAGTTGCCACTTACAATGACCGGACCCATGTCTTATCCTTCGCTTCCAGACATATTTACCTTTGATATAGCCCAGCGCCCACTACTTATTATCACATATAGGGTGATTATAGACCATGGGCATTGAATAGTTTACAGTTGGCCCCACGAGTAACTAGTTATTTCAAAACTAAATATGTCTGCAGACCAAAAGTGACAGGGTGTATAAAACCTCTGAATACTGGTAGTTCAGAGATTTTATACTGGAAACTCGAACCCGGTCATGGGTTCGTGTCTCGCCAATAGGCTGGCCACATGGAGTTATCCGGGTTTCCTCGTGTTAGTAATTCGTAAATAAGGCCCAGTTTACAGAAAGGACCTCCATTGAGGTATTACCCCATTGGCAGATCCCCCACGTGTCACGTTGGCGTAACCAAATTAACTAAAATTTGTCTGGAAGCAGGATCGGACGAAGGTCCGGATATTGTAGTACTGTAAATGGCAACGCATCCTCTTATACGTGAAAGTTTTCGATTCCAGGGCTATTCTTTTCTTTCAGAAGTTTCTAAATGATTTCATAAATACTAATTCAATTATAATTACTAAATTTAATAAGAGATGGTACCTAACGCTATTTCTAGTGCCAAATTACTCGGTATTTAATGATGTAGCCCGATTTCATCTGGTAATAGGCTTTAATTTAATCACCAGACTTTATGATGTTTGTATACCTGTATGTCTGATACCAAAATAATAGCAAGTGTCCCATAAAATGACCTCCCTGGAAGCATCTCTTCCCTTGGCCTATCGCTCGCATTATTAAAATATTACTATAAAAATTATATTACATTATAATTAATATCATTGCCTACTTTTAATTTCTGTTCCAATGATAATTCACAGATCGAGAATCTCCGAATATCTTGAAAAGACGTTTGCATCTGAAACATTGAAATACAAATATTAGGAGATATTTGCATTTTATTAGCAGATTTCTGGAATTTCTTACCGCTGATGTACAGGAAGACAATACGAATCCTATTAAAATACAAAATGCGGATGATCCCATAGCGCAAAAAAGCAAGCTAACCTTCAGGAATATATGTAAATCATGAAATAAGAATGCGTAGTACATTAAACATGTGTGAAATAACAGAAAAAAGTATAGAAAATTCATTAGTGGATTCATCCATTTATTGAAACTTTCCAGGAATTCCCATAACTTTGCGTGTCGCGTGATTAATGACTCTAATTTGATATTTAATTTGTTTTCATATATTCTTGTCAAATATAATTCTTCTGATAATTGTAAAAATCCTATTTTTGCAATGAAGAAAATTGTGTAAAATAAAAGGACTACGTGAAATGTAAATCCAAAAAAGTACATGAGAGAAAGCATAAGCTCGATATTACAAAATAATATTTCTTCGTTAGAATATTGCATTTTATTATATAAGGGATAAAACATAATCATGATCGACGATGCAGAGAAAAGTTGAGACCATGCCATGGCAATCAACATAATCATCCAGATTTTGCGTATTGAAAAAGAAAGTTGAGTTCCTGGAAAATATTTGTTCGTTTGTAGTTTATTAATAGGAGCCGGCTTATTTCTTTTTGTAAAACTAAATATTATGACTATAGTAAGTACAGGAAGACAAATACCAAGTTTCAATAAGGTATGATTCATTCCTGCAAGTGAAAATAGAAAAGAACAAGGAAATGGACGATTGGATCCTGGAATCATCTGACTAAACAGAAGGATAAAATGTATCCAATGCAACCATTCGATGAAATTCTTATATAGTGCTTTAACAACTTTATAGGAGTATGGTGTTTTCTCTGTTTTGCATGAACAAGGTTCAAAGAATTCCCCACCAAATATGATAAAAGTTGACAAAATCGGTTTCAGATTACAACGAATACAAAATTCATCTGTAGTATTAATGGGCATTTCTGAAGTCTTATTTCGTGACAAGATATATTCTAATTGAAAGGCAATATTTTTTGTATGTTATGTAAAATAATCAAAATAGCAGCTGAGAAGTGACACTGATGTAGAACTGTTAACTACGTAAACGTAAATGTAGTTTTGTCGGTTGCATTGCGACAATGCAATTTATACCGGTATGTGTATTCCTTAATGCGTATGATATAACTATAAATTCATAAAATACTTTATTCATAACTCATTAACGACACAAAGTGTACAGAATCGATTTCGTTAATATCAATTTTCAATTATGCAAATACAACTAAATGTTCATTTTCTGTATATTTACGCCCTCTGAGCTTTAAGAGCACCATCAAATCCGTTGTAGTTTCGAATGCACTTGGATTGGAGAAGGTTTTTTTTTAAATAAAAACTATATATTTATTTTTAAAGAAGCATTCTGAGTTAAGTGCCAGAAAAATTTTGTGCCCATCCGTAGGCAATTGTCACAGTAAATGCAGCTGGATAATGCGGGCCAAGGCCCAAGAGGTCCAAACCAAACTATTCTATGGAGAATTTCTGGGAGTGTTCACCTCGCGTTATGCTACGTCATATGCAATAGTTATGTTAATTTCTAATAATGTGTATCGATTTTACATTTGAAGCTTTTACTTTATAAAATGTTCTAATCGAAGATAAAATATATTGTGCATTAAATTTAAATATAATTAATATGAAACTATGAATCTAATGTACTGTATAATACACGCTAATGGATATAACTTAACTCGAATATCGTGTGCCCTGTGCAAGTTTCTATTTTGGCCTTGATTTTCACAATAAAAACAGATAGGAATGTCTGTAAAATTTTATCTTTAACCAAATATGTTAGAGAATCGGCTCTGACAACGGCAAATTTTCAAATTTTAAACGTAAAATATATTGTTGGCAATTACTTTTGACGCTCCATTTCAAGACCTTTCCTTCATGTAGGGGAAATACGTACAAAATGACATAGGCAACATAATTCGAATTTGGCGGTCTCAAGCTCGCGACTGACCATGACACCACGTAATCCGAGCGGCTCTTACTAACCTGTCAAAATGTGAACGCACTCCTCTCATTTGCCCGGGTGTCATGGCCGACGACAAGAAATGATACGTTATGAGTTTTTTTCCTCGCAACAAGTTTTTTGTATAGATGGTAATTTTTTCACTATTTTATCTATTTGTGTAACATTTATTTCAACCCTCAAGAATTTGTTGTTGCACTTAAATAACTTTTTCCATTAAAAATAACATCTTTGTATTTATTTTATAATTTTGTTTTTTTATAACGTTATATGGACAAAACGACATACATAGGCAACGGACATAATGACATACCTGTCATTTAGTCCATAAGAGCTTAGTTAAGGAACTTACCTTAATCTCTTAACGTTTTATTAATTATCAAAAATGTCTTCCAAAAAAAGTCTTTCATTATTGTTTAAAAGAAATTTTAGTATAAAACTTTATTTCCTTTCTTACATATTATTTACAAACTTATTATCTTTCGCATAACAAAAAAACTTGCAACGAATCACGTGACTCGACAAACCTCTTTAGTTTTAACTTCTATTCCTAATATAAAGGCAATTAAATCAAAAAAAAAAATGAGTCAAAAGCTCTGCCAGAGAAAAGGAGACAAAACATTACTAAAAAGTTACTCGAGGAAAAAAATTTTCCTGATAACCCTCAAGATGATGAAGAAGAAGATTGTCCATGCATATATTGCAATGATCTTTTTTCTCGATCTAAGCCTTGAGAAGACTGGTTACGATGCATATATTGTTTCCGTTGGGCTCACGCTTCTTGCGCTGACGTTTCTAAAAAAGCCAAGCATTTCATTTGTGAACTTTGTCAGTAATTTTATAGTTTTTACGTGTATGTCATTTTGTCCATAGTACATTACATTTTGTCCATAGTGGATGATCTCGATTAAACTAACAATATTTTTTTCCTA